CGCCGCCGCCGCCGCCGCCGCTACGGCGACCCGCGAGGGCCATGGCGGGCGGGCGGGACGCGTTGCCGGGAGACGGGCGGGACCCGCTCGGGCAGCGCCGGGCAGGGCGCCCTGCCCGGGGAAGGGGGAACGGGCAGAGACCCCCCGGTGTCCGCGTGAGCTTTCCCCGGGGAAACCGAACAGGGCCTGGGCAGCCGGCCAAGGCCAGACCGCCCGAGGGAGGCCGGGGAAGGTGCTGCCGACCCCCGGGAGACAATGACCCTCAGGGCCCAGCCGCGAATGCTGCCCCTGGAGAGAGAAGAGGAGGAGGAAAACGACACACGAGCGTGGAGTCCCCCAGTGCACTTTATGATGCCGGTGGAGTGGGGTCAGGGCCAGCACTCGGGGACGGCGGGGCCGCGGTGGCTGTGGGGGCTCTGGGCCCGGCTTTGCAGGCGGGAGCGATCTCGGACCTCCAGGGGTGCTGGAGCACCTGCCACCGGCGAGATAGAATCAGAGAATCACGGAATGGTTTGGGTTGAAAGGGACCTGAAAACCCATCTCATTCCACCCCCTGCCATGGGCAGGGACACCTTCCACTAGCCCAGGTTGCTCCAAGCCCCATCCAACCCGCCCTTGTACACTTCCAGGGATGGGACATCACAACTTCTCAGAGAAACCTGTGGCAGGGCCTCACTGCCCTCACAAGCAAGAACTTCTTCCTCATACCTAATCCAAAACTACTCTCAATTTGAAGCCACTCCCCCCTGTCCTGTTGTTGCCGATTAAGAGCTCTCTAACTCAGATAGAGTCTAGTTTAGAAAGGAGACATTGTTTATTCTGTGCAGGGTGCAAGGTGGAGGTTTCCACAAATCGAGCCCACGATCTATCAAAACTTTCAACTATTTATACATTGTAGCAAACAAAGGAATTAGTGTTCATTGGCTGCAAGTCACATAGTTATTTTATTGATTAGTATCTACTTTTTATTTGTTCTCATGCTAATTAGACTGCATGCTCAATCTTTTTCTTCTTTTGGGTCTGTGGATTTCTTGGGTCAGTGGTCGCAGATCCCCCTGCCAGCATCACCTTTTACCCAGCTGGAGCTGATTCCAGCACAGTTGCTGAGTTGGGTTTATCAGTTTCTTCCTTATCTTGGGACTTCTGCCAGATGTCCTTGTGGCCCATAAATTCTGCATTCTTTATGCTCACTATCAGTGGTCTCCCCAAGCCTCGTTAACCTCCCCCTAGGTCTGAGATCACTGAAGCATGTCCAGCCTTCCACTAGACCAGGTTGCTCCAAGCCCTGTCCAACCTGGCCTTGAACATGTCCAGCTCTGCCTTGGCCTTCCTTACCCCATCCCAACACAACCATCCTTCATCTCTATATGCTTCCCAGGTCACCTGTCCTCGCTTCAACTGTCTGTGCGTTTGTTTCTTTCCCTTTACTTGGACCAGCAGGTCCTTACTCAGCCATGCCAGTCTCTCCCTTGCCCAATTTACTCCTCCTACACATTGCTAGCTGTGGTGCTCCAGGATCTGGGGAGTTGCAGGAGAATCCCGATGGCAGCTGGATGGTGGTGCTGTGGCTGCTGGTGTTGGATGTCAGCAAGCTGTGAAACGGGTCAAGCTCAGGATGCAGCTCTCAAGATTTGGTGCTGGCACAGTAACTTCTGGACTGGCCTTATGGATTCTGGGCCTGACACTGTAACTGAGAATGGTTATGTGTGTGGTCAGGCCCAGCAGTGCTGGAGCAGCTGCTGTCCTCATGTTCTGGAGAGCTGTGGGATGGCCCTGATGCCGCCTGGATGTCCCAGCCCCTGCAACGGGCTGCCCAGAGGGGCTGTGAAGTCGCCTTCCCTGGAGACATTCAAAACATTTCTGGAAGTGTACCCACTCTGGGTGAACCTCCTTTAGCAGGGGGGTTGGACGAGATGATCTCCAGAGGTCCCTTCCAACCCCATCTGTGATTTCGTGATCCTCCCTGTCTACACCACACCGGTAAGGCTGCATCTGAAGAACTGCCTCTGGTTCTGGGCTCCCCAGTACAGGGGACAGAAGTGACCTTTGAGCCTGGCCTAGGCTCACACATCCCATCTGCTCAGACACAGTGGGTGGCCAGGGCACCACAAAGGACCTCAGGATGGCACCTAAATGTCACAGGTGACTCAGCGTCTTTCTCCTGAACTCCTCAGTGCTTTGGTGATGTGCTGTCTCCAGAACAAAGAGCAGGAGGGCTGCAGAGTCACAGCAGAGAGGGACTTTTTCCAGCGCAATAAACTGCCTTTCAGAGTCAGTGTGAGCCTTGCTTTGGTGGGGTAGGAACCTGCAAGTGGCAGTGAAGCTTTGGAGATGCCAGAAAGGGGCATATGTGAGCAAAGAGAGCAGGACAGCCCCTCTCCCTGGCAACTCTCCCTCTGGCCTGTGTCTTTACAGGTGATTTTGGGGACTTCCCTGCTGGAGGAGCAGGGAGGGAAAGCTTTTGGGGTGAAAGTTTGTGACTCACATATCTAAATCTTGCCAAACTTCTCCCCTCTCCTCAGAGTCTTTTGCCAGCCACATCCTGGTCTGAAATGCTGGGATCTCTTCTCTGGGCAGACCCTGAGGGTGGTGGTCCCTCACTCAGAGACCCACAGAAAGCTTGTCCAAGGCAAAAGGCTGAACAGCCTCCGAGACCGCCCACACCTCATAGTCTGGACTCTAAAGGGTGGCACATCAAGTGAGGGAGCTCCCATCAGTACTATCTGTCAAAAAGGATAAGCTTTATCTTCTTTGTCTCTTTCTCCCTCTCCTTTCCACATTCCTTCATTCCTTTTATTTCTACCTTGCCAGCCTCTGTACTTCCTTGGCCTGATGTCTCTATCTGGACTTCTATTTTGCATAACAGATGGAGCTTTTACCATCTAATAATTCCTTGGAAAAAAAAAAGCAAAAGGGAAATCTGTAAACAAAACTCACTATAGTTATATTTGCACCCCTGAGTAGGTAACACACAAATGCAAACAACATCCTAGGTGATACAAGAGGGGATCTCTTGAGATATTTTGGTCCATGTGCCTGGTCAAGCAGGGTCCATTGGAGCAGGTTGCCCAGTCAGATTTCACCTGCTTCCAAGGTACAATGGGTGGCAAGTGGCTGAGGCCATCCCTGCCCATATTTTGTGTGCATGATGCTGATGTCACAGTGGCCACTGTGACCTGTGGGGCCAAGGGCATAAATGCTGGGCTCAGGCCATGTGTCAGTGTGGCCTGGTGATGGGAGGAGGGATGGGGCTTGTGCTGAGCTTCTGAGGGAAGAGAGGAGCCCCTCACCTCGGGGCTCTGGGCCTGTGCTGCAGTCTCACCCACTGCCCGCTCCTCAGAACCAGCGGAGGAGCACCTAGAGGAGCATTCCAGGGACAGGGACCATGTCAGACAAGAAGGAGAAGCCCCCTGAAGTGAGGGAGCCAGGTGAGAGCAAAGTGCCCCTCCCTCAGCCTGGCAGAGGGGCTGTCGGGGCAGCCAGCGTGGGGCCAGGAGCAGTGGCACGGGGAGGCAGGAGCTGTCCAGGCATCCCGGGGCTGGGACCCTCCTTTCCTCATCAAGTGGGGCCCAGCTGGGGCAGGGGACACCTGCTGGGACACCCGTGCCCACAATGTCCCATCCTCCCCAACGCCTCCAGCCCTGCCCTTCAGCCAGCCAGGCAGGGACAGAGCAGCCCTTGGGGTCGATCCCACAGGGAAGCTGCTCCAGCCCTGCAGAGGTGCCATTGTCTCTCTCCCCTCCAGCATGCCTGCTGTGTGGACGATCAGAGGCTGACCCAGAAATCTGTGGGGAAAAAATGCAGAAATATGGGCTCTGTGCCCACGTGTTCTGCCTGGTGAGTTGCTCCGTGGGGTCCGTCCAACTTTCCAATGGGCACTTCCCACTACACTCTTCTCATCAGCACCTCATCTTTTCTCTCCTGCAGTTTTTTGCTAAACTTTTTCCAAAAAGAAACAAGAAAGTAGGATTCTTAGGCCTTCTCCCCAAGGATATCCAACATACAGTTGACCAGGCAGCACAGAAGGTGAGAGCCTGACAAGAGCAGGGAGATTTGTGCCAGGCGAGGTTTGCTGGAGCTCAGCCCAGACCCCAAGCAAGAAAGCCCAGCCCTTCCAACCAGCTCTGGGAGAAGGAGGAGGCCCTGAGGCTGCTGCTGATGGGGCTGCTCTGCTCTTTCCAGAGCTGCTTCATCTGTGGCCAGAGCGGGGCCACAGTCTCTTGCTGTGAAGCAGACTGTGACCTGAGTTTCCACCTGCCCTGTGCCAAGCAGGGAGGCTGTGTCACCCAGTTCATTCCACCATACAGGTACCTCCTGTCCCCTCCTTGCCACCACCAGGGAAGGGCCCAGCACTTCTCACCTCACCCACCCCTTTTCCCCCCAGGGCCTTCTGCCCCACACACAGCCCAGAGCAGGCAGTGGAGGCGACTCCAGAGCCGGGCACCGAATGCCTCATCTGCATGGAGCCTGTGGAGGACAGAAAGACCTCCAACACCATGGTGTGCCCAGCCTGCAAAACCGCCTGGTTCCACAGAGACTGTATCCAGAATCAGGCTATCCATTCTGGATTCTACATCTTCTGCTGCCCGCATTGTCAAAATGAGTATAGATTTCTGATGGAAATGTTTATCATGGGGATACGAATCCCCAGGAGGTTGGTATTTTTTTTCACAGCTCACAACACAGGTGGGTGCAAGCGCTGTGCTGTGCCAGGGCCTGCCCCAGCAGTCCTGGCCCTGCCCTGTTCCGTGAGTCCTGGGTTCAGCTTCCCGCAGGAGCTGGAAATGGCACAGAGGGAAGAGCAGGAATGCCCTGCATCTGCCTGCCACTCTGCTATCAGGGTCTCATCAATTTTCCCTTCCTTTCCCAAAAGAGGACCATCATGGGAGGAAGACGGTGCCTATGGACAGTTATATGAGAGACACAGCTGCTGCAATGCCAGCGAGTGCCTTTTTCCAGGAGGCAGGGAGGAGGCAGAGGAACAGGGGTAAGTTGCCAAAGCTGCACCCCAGGACTCTGTAGGGGATCTGTGCCTCAGCAAGGGCTTGAAGTAGAAGGACCCAGGAGAAGAGCTCAGCCAGATAATCCCATGCTTTGGGCACTTTGTCCTCACCTCCATGAACCCGTTTGCTTCCCCAGGCCCTGGGAACTGCTCCTGTGCTCCTCCTGTGCTGCTGAGGCCACTCACAGACACTGCTCTGGCCTGAGGGACAGCACAAACAGCTGGGAATGTGATGGCTGTGCTGGTCTGGGCACAGGTAAAAGGCAAAGCACCCTGGTGACCCTGGGCCTGGCAGCGGGTGCCCAGGGTGGGCTTGGCAGAGCCTGTCTGCTCCAGGAGGGCTGGGGGCACTGTTCTGGCCTATCCTGCCCTGGGCCTGGGGCAGACTTGACATTCCTGCTTCCCCATACAGCCTCCAGAGATGACTCGGAGCTCAGCATGGACAAACAGCTGGGATTGGAACCTTCCCACAGCATGCCACCACCTGACACCATCAGCCCCAGCACAGGCAGCCTGGTGCCATCAGGGCTGTCCCACAGATCTCCAGCACCTGAGACCAGCAGCCAGGCAGAATCAGGACAGTCTCTGGAATCTCCCTCTCTAGAGATCAGCAGCTCCAGCACCACCAGCCAGGCATCATCAGGATCCTCCTGTGTCTCCCACAATCTAGAAAGTGGCAGACACTCCAGCAGCCCTGGGCCTGTGTGGATCCGACACCATTCCCGCCTTCAGCGTCAGGCCCAGAATCCCCACAGCCAGCCTGGACATGGGCACTGGACCTGCAGTGCACCATCCCGGAATGCTGGCCCTGATCCCGCTCCACCAACACAATGAAGCGCACTGGAAGGCACCACGCTCATATGTCAGCTTCCTCCTCCTCCTTCTCTCTCTCCATGGGCAGCATCCAGGGCTGGGCCCAGGGGGTCGTCGTCTCCCAAGGGTTGGCAGCTCCTTCCCCAGCCTCCTTCTTTTCAAGGCCAGCCTTGACTGGCTCCCCAGCACCATGGTTGAAAGCTTTGGGCCTCGCTGGCCCTGGGGGCTACTGTTCTGAGGCAGCCCCAAGGCGTTAATTAATAACTGAGGAGCTCCCAAAACTCAGCAGCTTTCTTTGGATGTCAGCCATTCCCATGGCTGTGACAGGTGGCTTCACAGGGTCCTGCCTTTCAGCCCTGGGTTCAGAGCATGGAAAGCTCTCGTTGTAACTCTCTCAGGGCTGACAACAGTATCTGGCCACAGGACCATCACACTGGGCCACTGGGAGCAGAATTCTTTATGCCCTGAAGTTTGAAATTGCAGGTGTTTTCCTTGCTATGTAAACCCAGGTCTCCTACAGCAGACTCACCTTTACACTGAAATGTAAAGGTTTCTTCCTGGGAAACAATAACTTTGCAGTCTTTCTCTCTCCTCTTTCAAAGTATGGGGAAATCACACCATCACACAATTCAGGCAGTCTTTCCATCTTAGCACCGGGCACTGGGGCACAGTCTTACACCCTGCAGACTCACTGAATAATTCACTTCTGGAAAGCAACTGATTTTCTCCACTTCTGCCTCTGTTTACTTGTCTCTGCAAATATGACAACCATCTCCTTGACAGAGTCCTTGAGCTCACACACAACTCGAGGTCAGGTATGGAAAACAATCCACAATTCACACGTGCAGATGGTTTCACCATTTGGTGGAGCTCAAGAAACGGCTTTTTTTCCTAGAAGCCACGTTGGGAAAGTTCTTGAACTCAGGAGGTCTTCCTCTGAGTCACAAATCTGGACCTGCCTAAGTCTTCGGAGCACCTGGGACTACACAGAGAGAGCAATCACACAGCCTGAGCCGGACTTATCCCTCACGGCCTGAGCCGGACTTATCCCTCAAGGCCTCAGCCGGACTTACTTATCCCACACCGCTGGAGCCGGGCTTCCCGCCACGAAAGGGCTGCAGACCACAGGGCTGCCTCAGGCGCAAGATGTTTGTCAGTGGCTGTGGACCCACCTAACAAAGGGTCGGGCAGTCGGAGATCAGGTCCCGCTGCCCCGCCCATCCGTCCGCCCCGCTCGCCGCCCATCCCCGCTCACCCCGGGGGAGCTGCCGCGCTCATGGCGCTGGCTCGGGGCGTGCTCGGCCTCTTCAGCCTCCTGCTGCTGCTGCCGCCGGCCGGTGAGCGCGGGGCGGGGGCTCGGCGAGCGGGGGAGCGCTGAGGGGCAGGGCTGTGGGGCTCCGGTGTCGCTTCCTGAGGCGGTTCCGCGGGAGGACCCGGCCGGAGCCCCCGGCGGGGGCGAGCCCCAGACTGCGGGCAGAGCCCCCTCAGCTCGGCCCCCTCAGCTCGGCCGCCCGTGCCGGGGCGGGGGCCCAGGGACGCGTGGTTTTGGAGCCGTGTGGCCCCAGCGCCGGCGGGAGGTGGCACGGCGGCTTTGGGTTCGCCGGGGGCAAAGTTCCGCGGGAAGTGAGGTGGGTTTGCGTTAGCCGGCAGAAATAAGTGCCTGGGAGTGACTGTGAGGCCCCACCCGGTGATACGGGCTGCTGGTGACTCAGGTAAGGATGCTGCGGAGAAACGATGGACCGACGCGGCCGCCGGTCACTCGTGATGCATCCCGTTAAAAACCTTCACCTTGTCACTCCCCCTTCTTCCCCCCCAGTAAATTCTACCCTTTTACAGCAAGATAATAGACATACTCAGGTGTTGAGTGATGATATTGCACAAACAGCACTGCTTATGGAAGCTTGTTTGATAATAGTGTCCATACATAGCTGTCAAATGCTAAAATTGATAATTGGGCTTTTTTTCAGTAGTCCTGTCTGTAGCTATTTTGTTATTGTGCTTAGAGGATGGACCGTGTGCTCTTCCCCAGCTTTGTTGTTGTGATGAGAAAAAGCAAATGCGAGCATAGGACTTAGCAGGTGAAGTCTCAGGAAAGGAGAAGCACTACTGATATTGTGTGCATCAGTGGCATCACTTCATCTGAGGGATCATATTCTGCACAGATGTGCAGGAAAGGTGATTGTGACATGCAAGAAGACATTTAACTTAGTCAGAGTGGTCCAGGATCACAGTTTGTCTGGGGGGGTGTGATCTGAAGTGCGTGTGGCTGAAATAGTCAGTTTTATCTGTAAGTACTTTGAGGGGTAACCACCAGAAAAAGGGTCCTTTCAGCTGACTCACCATGATGGTGGAACAGCAGTAACTGTATGGCCTCAAATAAATAAAGTTGGAAGTTAGAAGTGTTCTTACTGGAATAGTTGGTGACTTTTGGTGGGAAAAGTTTAGCAGCTCTGCTCTCAAGATGGAATTTGGTTAGTCTGTTAAAGGGTTTATGTGGTACTGGTTGTGTGAAATCATCTTGCTGTCCTGCAGGGTAGGTTGAACCCCTCAGTAGCAGATACACCAAAATAGGAGGTCCCTCAGGCTCAACCCTTCTGTAGTGGTGGGTTGGGTGTACAATGGGCCTCTTCTGAGGTGATTCAAATGAGTAACCCATCAGAAAACCATCTGAGGAAAAAAAGTCCCATAGGTTGATCTGCTGATGAGCTGGTGAACCAAATCAATTGAGGAAGTATCCAACAGGGGCCACAGCTGATGGAAGAAGCAAGGAACAAAGTAGAGGCATTGAAATATTTGCTTTGGTGTGCTCAGCCCTTGCTGGCACAGCTCGGCCGCCTGAGAACCGGCCTAGACCTTTAGTTTTCGTTGTTATTTGATTGTGCTGCAGTAGCACAATTGTGAGATGGAGGGGGGAATTTTCTTGGTTGCCTTGTTTTGTTTGTAATTTCACAAGGTGTGTTGGAATCAGTTTAGCTACCTGTCATTTCCTTATAGGGGATACAGGAGGGATAAACCAGCCATAAGCTTGTGTAAACCTGTTAGTCGAAGTACTGTGGTATTAGTACAGAAGTTCCTCTTTGTTTCTGTTTAATGAACCTCCACATTTAACCCCTGGAACATTTTTTTTTTCTTTTTATCCTTGGCTGAAATATTTAGGTACGTCTTGATGCCAGAGAGTCAAGACTGAATTTTCAAATGCTATAATCAGTTTAAATACTCCAGGAAAAATACCCATTACTTTTCTACTGAAGGAACAGGATTTGTTGTCTTTGCCTCTTGTTTGCTTTCCCTGAACAACTACACTTGAAGGAATTTGAACTTTTTGGATGGAGTGTAGTTTGGGAGCAAAATATCAGGGTATGTCATCTTAATGCAATATGTGATGGGAAGGAAAATGAGGAATAGAAACCATGTGACTGCAGCATTTATCACTGAAAAATGAAGTTATACTCTTCTTGGGAAATGAGTTTTGCTTAAGCTTTGAGAAGTATTTTTATGTGACAGTTGGAAGCTTTTGATACGCTGTTTATGTGTTGCAGTTAATTTGGGTTTGGGAGGGTAAAGAGAGAGAGGAAACAGCCAGTTTGTTAAGGAATGTATCAGCCCAATGCAGTGCTGAGAAGCATGGGGTGTCCCCTAAGGAAGCCATCCTAGTACATGAACATCCCCATTTCCTTACCATTGTAGCTGCACCAGTTGATGCTTGCAGTGGGAAGGCAACACTAGGCTGATTTTAGTCCTAAAAATCTCTGTTGTACAACATCTGTTTTATGCAATGGATTACAGGATTAGGATCTTCTGTGAAGAAAACGAAGCAACAGGCAGAAACAACTAAGTCCCATGGAAATCCAAATCTGCAGTGAATGTGGTGGTGTTGCATCATTTGCATGGAGTCAAATCTCTAGGAAAATTTAACATTTTCTTCTAGCTGATCATGGTGCTTGTGTGGTATTTTTAACATATCTGGCTACTCATGTTGCTTTTTTGAGTCTTTACAGTAACTTGGTAGCCACTATCAGACGCAGTGAAGAGAATATCACCAGCATCTCATAAGTATATTTGCACTCATTTAGTCCTTTGTGCCTGTGTGAACACTTAGAGCTGCTTGAAGAAGATGATATTTTGTGTGGGGAATATTTGCCTTTGCTGTACACTGAAGGAAATATTGGGTTTGTAAGACCTAACCAAAATTATTGTAACATTTAGGTGTTAACCTAGGTGCGCTGATCAGTATAAGAAAGAGACTTTATATGATTATTTCTTTAGTTACTAACTGTTAATTTATAACTCTTTTCAGCTTTGGGTGAGGATTGTCAGGCATATATTGATTATTCTGGCAAAGAACAACCTGCACAATCCTGTCCTGACTTCTGCTGTGGAAGCTGCACGAATCGATTCTGCTGCTCTAATGTGATGTTAAGATTTGCTGAACAGTTTCAGTGTGTTCTACAAAATGTAAGGTAGGAGGCAAACTGAATGTATACAACAGATTAAAATTCTGTCATTAAATGGCAGAAATACACAGTTTAATGGTTAAACCTTCCTAAGGGATCTTTCAGCTCTATATTTGGCTCTGTGCAGGATCAGCATTAATGCTTGTAACTTGTAAAATGGGAACAGTGAGGTGGGTAAATTGATGCATGAACTGATGTGTGTCTTCTTGAGCATTTTCAGATACTTACACCCAAATTAATTTTTCTTTGAGGATGTCTGTCCCAGGAGATCTTTTAAATAAGATTCAAGAGGCCCAACTGGGAGAATTTTGGGATAAGTTTGAGAAGACCGAAGACGAGGCAACCAAAAAAATCCATGAATTGATGTCCAAGAGCTGGTTGGAACGAATCTTTAATATTCTTGGTTTTACTGTGGTGGGATGGCTCTGAGGCCCGATACAACACGCAATAATGTTTGTTGTAACGATTATCATTGTCAGTATTAGTATATCCTGTGTAAAGTCCTTGTTATTGAAAGCTATAACTTCACACTTTAGAATGCTTTGGGTTTAGGATGCCGGCTGTGCACCACTGGTACCTGCTCCAGATGGAGAATGTTACCAAATGAAAGGCATGCCAGATGAGGAGAGAGGACACACTCTGAACCCAC